GTCAGGTGGATAGGGAGATGCATAGGCAAAGGTCAAATACTAATATGTATGCTGATTAAAATAATATTATCAGAGCAACCTACAAAACAAGAACAACCTTAAATAATACCACCAATAAGTCTAACAATTCTAGAATCTTGGAAGACAGTGACAATATAGAAGTTAAAATAAAGTTCATTGAAAAAGTCATCCAAAAACAGTCTTGGTCCAGGAACAGCTGTTATCCAAGAGAACCTGAGATAAGTATCACAAAACAACAGCAGGAGCAGCAAAATCCACTTTGGTTATGTTTGTTAGTTCATTCTGCATCCTTAGCAAAGTTTTGGTTTTGATAGGGACAAGCACATGCAGCTTGAAATGCTGGGAGATATCTTCATGCCAAGAAGCTTCTGATGGGCATCTGCCAAAATCTGTCTAAGGAATAGGGGTGTTCAAGAAGGGGCTGATTTCATTCTCTCACCTGGTGAGTTAGGAACCGTCCATTTTCTCTCAAGAGGCGGCTGCGAGTCAGAATTTGCCTGACAGATAGAGCACTCAAGTTCAGTTGTAATACTAATAAAGTTTGTTAGCCCAAGAGATTATCTCATGTGCAAATCTGGATATTACATCAAACCACACTTTGTTCCTCCACAAACAATCTACCGGTATACTGTTGCTTAAGGCAGCATTTTAAAGGCACTGATGAAGTAGTCTATGAAATTTAATTGGTCCCTTAGAATCCCATACAATATTATAGACATTGTAGGAGAAAAGCTTTGTTGGTTTCAAAAATGTGATAGTTTAAAAAGGTGCTACCAAACTCCTTGGTTTTTACAGCATTATGAGAACTGTTGCATGATTCCTACTGTGACTTCCCCTGTATGTTTTTGCAGTTGTTAGTTGACATGGTTCAAATGTCGTCAACATGACACTGGAAATAGGCAATTAAAAAACATGCAAGGCTTCTTTGCCTCCAGTGTTCCTCATGATCAGCAAAATAACTCTGCTCAAAAAGTATATTTTACAACAGCTTCATATAGGTGTCATGAAGTCAGCATCCTTTACATGGGATATCATTGGAAGCCACTTGGGGAACTGCAGAGTTGCATTATGGAGACATGGTATTGTAAGTGATTTAAAAACACAATGGGATTGCCTTGGATCTTCACAAAAAGTATATGATACATAGCTGAAAATATCTACGTTTCCATGAATGTTTCAAAAGAAATATCCCCAATAGGGAGTACAACGCTTGCGTTTCTTTAAAAAGGGGGAAGGGAAATGCAAAGGGTTCCACCACAAAACCACGGTAGACTAAAGCGCGCTCGACGAAAGCGCGTACGTGACGTCATCAGCAGCGCAACAAATAAAATTAAAAATAAAATAAAATTAAAGCAAGCCGATTCACATAAAGGTAAGGGTTAGGTTTAGGGTTAGGTTAAGGGTTAGGGTTAGGTTTAGGGTTACGTCAAGCGTTAGGGTTAGGGTTAGGTTAAGGGTTAGGTTTAGGGTTAGGTTTACGTCAAGCGTTAGGGTTA